AAAGTGTTGGAAATTAATGAACTACCAATCCTGATGCATTAGAAACAGAACAGGCAAAATCAAAAATAGAGTCAGAAATTATTATTATGCATCAGAAAAATATATAATAAAGAGAATCATAAAAACCAAAAATTGATTTTAAAAAGGCAGCCTAAGTTGATTATTCCTCAGATTAGACTAGTTACGACAAAAGAAAGAAGTCCCAAGCAAACTATGTCTAGAACTAAATGGAAACATATCTCCAGATTCTAAAGATATTAAAGAGACATTAATAGGATAATATGAAGAAACTTTTAGTAATAAATTTACACATTTAGACAACATAGATAAATTTCTAGAAACATCTGATCATCCAAAAGTGACTCCAGAAGGAAGAGAATAAATAAATAGTATGTACATAGACATTAAGAAACTAAATCATTAATCAAAAGCCTTCCCACAAAGAAACTCCAGTCCCAGATGGCTTCATTAATAGGTTCTGCCAAATATTCAAGGAAGAAATAATTCTATCTTATCAAACGTTCTGAAACTAGAAATAAAGAAAATACTCCCGAACTCATTTTGTGAGGTTAGTATAACCGCGACAAAACTCCTGAAAAGAGTATGTATTTCAAAAAAAACTAAAATACATACCCCTTTGACTCATAGATATAAGTGTAAAACTCCTAAGTCAAATATTCGCAAATGAAATCTAGAAAAATCTGAAGAAAAAATATTACATCATCTCTGGTAAAAACCCAAGAACGTGCTGCAGTTCAGTTTTGCATTAATTGCTTAGAATCAGCAAGACCCCACAGGTTTAAAAGGCAGGGTTCCCAACAAGACTGCTCTTACTGCTGACACCAGAAACACTTTGAGTCTCCCACATTCCCAAACTCACACTTCTGACCAGCTGGCTATAAATTCAGGGGTTTCCCCCAGGCCTCTCAATTTTGATCGCTTGCTAGAACATCTCAAAGAACTCAAGAAAGTACTATACTTAAAATCACAGATTTCTTTTTTTTTTTCTTTGTAAGGTATACAGATTAGGAGAATCAACCAGATATAAAGACCCATAGAGACCAAAGAGAGGTTGGTTCACTGCTAAGTCAATCAGTATAATTTACTACAATAACAGACTAAAAGAGACAAATCTTATAATTCTCTAAACAGATGAAGAAAATAATGCATCTTCCAGGTGTGATAAATTCAACTTCTATGCATGATACAACTCTTAGTCATTCACAACTGAATGAGAGCCATTCTAAATACTTCCCTGTCCCATGCTCAGTTTGTATATACAAATGGTCATTAAGAGCTAATATTTCTAAGTGCGTTTTCTATTGGTTTTCTCTATACCTGATGCTGTCCTGTTTCTGGCCCCTGTTATCTCTCATTATTTTGATTGACCTATTTTCTTTTAATGTTGCTTATTTTCAATTCATCCCCCAAACTTTCTAGTATGTACATCTGTTTAAGCCCTTGCTCAATATTTTTCAATGAGTTTCCATGGTTTACAGCATATAATTTGATACTTTGGAGCTCCCTATACCACTGAACAAATAATCTTCCACATATTAATGATAAGTTAGAAGTATCAAGCTTCCAGTTTGAAAAACTGTCACGTTTAACCATATTTGGGGAATTTATAGTAGCAAATATATTAATTCTAAGAAAAATAATAGTTTACATTCGTATAATACATAATAGTCTGTTAAGTGCTCATATTTGTATTATGACATTTTATAAGAGCACGTGTTATTATCCCTTCCTTCCTGATGAAATAACGAGACATAAGAAGTAATTTGTCCAACTAAATGGCAAAACTGGAAGTAGAACTCAGCTCTTGGATTACAAGTTTAATACTTTTTCTTTCTAAATACAAGTAACATTTTCTGCAGGAATTTGCCTCAGAAAGTCATTCCTCGGTATCTTGTAACTACTGGTATTTGGCCACTGTCTGCTGCGTTTCTGTTTGTTTGTTTTACATTTGCCCTTTTCCTGGCCCTTCTGTCCTATTTTGCCTGGCTACTGGACACTTTCACTTGCTTATCTTTCTTGTCTATGCATGTGCCGAAAGAATAGTGGAAAGGCAGGAGATAACAGTTGACTTTGCTCTTTACCTGTCTCTTCATCTGGCCCCATCACACAATATATTTTATTAGTATTCACCCTAGAGAATCTGTACAATGATGCCTGTGGTTAATAAATAACTAGATTAGGTCATTTTTAATAATTTATATAGTCTGGTTCTCTTTCTTTGTTTTTTAAAGAAGAAAACATTCTTACCAATGCATGAACTTAGTTAAATTTAAAATAATTTGATGAAGTAATATCTCTGAAAAGCATTTATTATCTTCTATGGAATTCATACTACCTTAGGTACAGTTTGCTGCTCTTTAAATCTAAGAATAGTTTATAACATAGTAAATATACCCAAGAAAATTAAGTTCATGTTTAAGGTCATTGTATGCTGAAATCACTTTTCTAACCAGCCACTTTCATAACTCTGAGAAAAAAAAAAAAAAAAACACAAAACAAAACAAAACAAAACAAAAGAACAACCAAAAACAACTAGCTTTCTTCTGCTGTTATACAACAATCAACACAGAAGATTTCTGTGACCAAATGTGTAAGGGTTACTTCCCACTCATCAAGCAAGCAATCAATTCTGCAGCGGACGCCAGTTGGGTCTCCTCCAACCTGGTTTCATTCCAAAACTACCCACATTTAAGACAGCGTATGAAGATAGATCGTGCACAAGTTGAGGTTGCAGTCTCACAGGACTGCCTCCACTTCTGATGCCAATCGCAAGTCCGGGTTGTTTTACCTGTGCTTCTTTTTTTTTTTTTTTTTTTTGAATTATAGTCTAAGTTCTAGGGTACATGTGCACAATGTGCAGGTTTGTTACATATGTATATATGTTTACCTGTGTTTCTGACTGACCAGTGATAAACTGGAGATCCCACAGTCTCCTCCTTGGGTTTGATTATTTTGCTAAAGTAGCTCAGAAAACTCCTGGAAATGCATTTACCAGTTTATTATAAAGGATAGAGATGAAGAGTTGCATGGGACGAGGTATGGGGGAAGTGGTGTGGAGTTTCCATGCCCTTTCTTGGTGTGCCACCCTCCAGGAACCTCCACTTGGTGAGCTACTGGGAAGCTCCCTGAGCCTGTCCTTTTGGATTTTTATGGAAGCTTTATTACTTAGGTATGATTGATTAAACCATTGGCCATTGGTGATCAACTTAATCGTTAGCTCCTCTTCTCTCCTTGGATGTGGGAGTGTGGCACCCCTCTAATCCTGCCTTGGTCTTGGTAACCAGCTCGATCAGACCCAGAAGTTACCTAGGGGGCTGCCAGCCACCAGTCAACTGATGAGCATGCAAAAGACATTTACCAGTTTGGAGATTCCAAGAATATAAGTAGTTGTCTGTTAGTGGACAGCAACAAAACCATATATATCTTTCATGATATTAAAATGGCATTCTAGCGCTCGATTGAAACTTTTTAATAATGAATTTGGCAGACTTTTCTGTATCCTTACTGAAAATTTCAAATGTGTAATTAATTAATATTGGAACTTTGATTGATTGTCTATTGCCCAATGTGTACATTTCAAAAGCCTAAGCCCTTTTAGCTACATAGATGATCTTTAGTGTTTTCAATGGTTTGTTGCTGAGTATTTATACTGGATATTGTGGTATGTTTCAAATGATAGAAAATAAGAACAGACATGAAAAGTGCAAACTTCTTATAATTTACTTTGTTTATATAGAAGTGATACATTAAATCATCTATGAAGTACATCAAGTAAACCTAAATAGCGTGGATTTTTAAGTTAAAAATATGAGAATTAATATACTGAAAATCCCCATGGGAAGTAACTATATGTCACTGGTGCCAAATTAGAAATCTCCAGGTTATAAGATCATAACCCCTAGAGGAATATTTATCTGTATGTTTACTTAGTATCTAACAGCATGTGAAATTTATTTATTAATATGCCTGCAGGTTTCTCTCTAATCCCACTTCTCAAAGATGCACACACACAGATATAAAGCCAGGAGGGGGTGAATTGCCCTGCAACTGTTTCCATCTAAGTTGAAAAATATGGTTATAATGGGAAAAGCAAAAGTTGTTCTCCTTCTGACCTTGAACATTTTTACAGACCCAAAATAAAATATGTGAACAAATTCAAAGGCCATCTCCTCTACAACATCTTCCTTGCAATATACTTGGCCCCATGTAATCAGCACTGATCACACTCTCTTTGATTATAATGCGACTATAGGCCTTATTTTATCATCCCTTCAATTATAGTTTATTTATATTCCTCTGTTTCTTTTGAATGTTCTGAAGTGATAGAGATCTTGTGATAATTTGTTTTAATACGTGACACATAGCAAAATGACTTTGCACATTGTCATTTACTAAATATTTGTTAAATGTGTTTGGTTCTAATTGAATTATATTTACATATGCAAAAACTTAAACATGTAAACCATTATTGAGGGTAATGATATTAAAAGAAAAGAACAAACATTTTTTAATGGCAAAGAAATACATTTTAGAAAGTTTAGAATGTAATTTTCCAAAATATTTTATTTTTGAAGTGAAGTTATGATTGTATTTTTGAAGTGAAGTTATGATTGTATTTTTGAAGTGAAGTTATGATTGTATTTTTGAAGTGAAGTTATGATTGTATTAAAAGCATGGTTATCTGACATAATTTTTACCTATACAAACTTTAGAATTGAAACAACTGAATAATTTAAAACAAAACACATTTGCTTCAATTTTCTATCGATTTAGGGTATAACTATTGATTTGGCTTGAAATATCCAATGATTGCCTCAGTGCTATATTTTATTTAGCACCTATGGACTTAGCTACAATGAAACAAATCTTTTTGAAACAGGAACAGCCAGACTGCATGCAATAGTAATATCAGACATCTGTATATTGCCTTATACTTATATAAAAGTGCTTTTACATAAATTATTTTATTTGGTTCTCAGGTATGGGAAACGGAGGCAGAGAAACTGAGAAAGGTAGGAGAAACTCACACTTTATAGAGATAAAAGATAGGATTATATTTGGCGTATATATATGGATTTTTTTGCAAATACCTAAATAGCTTGCACAAAAGCCTCTTGCCTATATAAGTTTAATTGTTCTAAAATGAAGGTAAAATTTGAAATTATGACAAACTTATTTGTATACACATGGAACTTGTTGTTCACTTAATGTTGCCAAGTAGTTGAAAGTAGAAATCAGACATTTATAATGATGGCTTACAGGATTCGAAGATTTCATTGCAGTAAAGACTGTGAATATATAAAATTTGAATTTGACCAAATGGAGATGATTTTAAATCTTTCAGAGATCAGTTTCTGTTTCAGTAATAGGAGTAGACAAGAATGAAGGCATCAGGTAAAGAGACCAGTGTGGTGTACAAATATGCCCAAGTCTTGTAAAAGTACCATGGGAATATATAAAAGAAAGTTACCCATTCTAACAACGGGATTAAGGGAAGTTTGCACAAAAGAGGTGGGTCTTGAGAGTTCAATAGAGAAATGAGTAAGACCATAAATAAAAGCTCTCAAATGTAAAATTACACATTATGGTTGACAGTCTGCTACATGGTAAGTTGCATGGAAGAAAATAATAGAAAATCCAACTTAAAAAGTGGAATTGGGTTTGATTATGAATAGCTTTGAATTTCACACTAAAGATTTTGGCGGTCTTTGTAGGTAACGAAGAGTTTTTAATTAATTTGTTCTAGAAAAATAAGTGAAAAACTATTTTAGTTAGGAAACTTTACTCTGATTGGAGATGAGAAAAGTGTTGAGAACGGAATCTTAGGGCAGCGCTTTCCACATACCTAATAATATGTCACGAAATGTTAACTTTTGCAGGGTACACTGTGCCGAGCTGATGACACTGTTTATGACTGTGGGTCACCAGCTTCCTAAGATCTGCTCCTCTGCACCTCCCTAAAGGCGAAGAGAATCAGTATCTCTCTCACTCAAATGCATCAGCTCCACAGCAAAGTGCCTTGTATCTCTCTTGGGAAATACCCTGCCTTTGGGAAAGAAAGGAGAACAGGAATTGATGAAGAAAAGGGAGAAAAGGGGACAAAAAGAAGACAAAAGCAGAACAGAAGCAGAAAAGCGTGGTATTCTAAGTGAAGGAAGAAGCTTTTTAAAGAGGGAGTGAACCAAGAAGACTTGACAGCTGTTGAGAATTCCAATTGTGTGGGAGCTAAGGAGAGGGCACTGGTTAGGGCAAGTCCTCCCTGGTTTTGTGTTAGAGGCAGTTTGAGTAGCAGAGGGGCATAGAAGGCAGATTAGGCAGTGACAGGGAGGTATGAAAGTGGTATGTGTGGTTTGCTGCACTTAGACAAAGCTTGTGGGGGAAGGTAGAAAAGCAATGGGCTGGAATGGGTGGAAGGACACTTTGGGGATTTGAAGACCTGCCTGAGTGTGTGCTAGGTACAGATTGAAGGGAAGATATAAGAGGAGAGAATGGAACTGAAAACATAAAAGACAAAATGAAATAATTGGCAAAGCAAAATTCAGGCAACCAGGAAAGAACAGGATCAAATGTATGTAGACAGATTAAACTTGGTTAAGAATATACTTTTCTTAGAATAGACAGAAAGGAGGAACATTGATAAAAGGTAGAGGGAGATTTTGAAGGGTGCTGAAGACCCTAGAGAGTATTCTCCCTCAATAGCTTTTGTTTTCTCTGTAAAATATGATGTGAGAAGGATGGTAATCATTCAGCAATTCCTACTGGGGAAAAGGACAGACGACAAGGTGGAGTGAGAGCGCGGTCAGATGACTCTATCAATCATGTGCTCAACACTGTGCTAGGTGCTGTAGGGGATATAAAATATGTATGATGTGATTCCTGCCCTCAAAGGGAAACACACACACACACACACACACATTCTCTCTCTCTCTCTCTCTCTCTCTCTCTCTCTCTCTCTCTCTCTCTCTCTCTCTCCCTCACACAAACCTATAAGGGTAAGGGAATCTTTTTGAGTTGAACTCTGATTTAATGAAAAGCATAATAAAAGTCCTATGGAAGAATTGGAGAGGGGGCAGTAAAGACATTGAGAAAAGCTTTATGCATTATTTAAACAAACAGAGGAACAGATTGTAGGAAGCAACGGAACCCAGCAAGAGGATGGCATGCACACCAGCTAGTTGGGAGATCCTGAGATAGCAGAGGAAGTGAGTGATGGGAAGAGGAAGGCAACATGACTGAATAAATAGGAAGGGACCAGAGTATAGAGCACTGGTAGAAAGGATGGAGGTGCATGAAGATTAATTAGGTATTTGCATGCAAGATGGAGGAGAGTGTGAAGATAATAGAAGCAGAAAAATAATAAGGCAGGAAACGGTTGCAGCAAACCAGATGTGAGGCTATGCAAGAGTAATGCCAGTGCCAGAGTGAAGAGAAAGGGGTGAATCTGAGAAATATTCTGAAGGAAGATTTGCTAAAATAATGTGACAGATTGGATATTGATTGGGAGGAAAGAGAAGAGTAACATGTGCATTTAGGTTTTTACTTCTGGGAGACAGAAAAATGTTGCTGATGTTGAAATAGAACATCTGTGAAAGCAAGGCAGATTGGGGCTTTTTGAAGTTTGGTGGGAGAGTAGTGAATATTATCGGTAGGTTTTTGGCATTTCAAGTCTATAGGGGGAAAGGATAGCGGTTTATAATTTGGATTAACACCAAAAGGTCATAAATGAAGCTCTGAGAAAAAAGAAGCTCTTTGAGAAAATGTGTGAAGGACAGAGGATCAGAGCGAGGGTTTGAGTTGCAAGGGGCATTTCCAGTTAGAAATCAAGAGTACACATGGAGCCTGACAAAAAGGTAGAATAACTGGCCAGAGCCTATGACGGACTAATGAATTGACATGTCCTGAAACCAAAAAAGAGAAGAAAACTTCAAGGAACATAAGAATTAATTGCAGTAAAAGTTTTGAATAAATAAAATATATAAAAATCCATTGAATATGACCAAAAGGAGATGATTTTAAACCTTTCAGAGATCAATTTCAGTGAAGTGATAGGAGTAGATGAGAATGAAGGCACCAGGTAGAGAGACGGTTGGTGTATAAATATGCCCAACTCTCTCTGAAGGACAGCATATTAGAATTTCTAAGATAGTCCTGAGAAAGTACTTTAGTGATCACCGCTGAAATTGATGGAGTGTTGCAGTAGACCCCGATGTCCCCAGACGCACCAGTCATCCAGAGTAGCTCCATTTTATATTATGGGTATGTGCGTGAGTGCACGTGCCTGGGTGTATGTGTGTGTTCACACATATATAGATTTAGGAATTTCAGATATCTTATCTAAAGAGGTGCTTTTTGCTAAAATAAAACAAACACTTAATAATCTGCTCTAGAATTTTGGAAATCAATAAGAAAATAATACTAGATTAGTGCTACCAAGGATTATGAGGAAATTTTAAAACAGGATATTAATAACTCCCAATATATTAGAGAAAATAGGCTGTGGATTCATAGATATCTCATTTTTAACTTTGGTTCTGTTGACTAGCTATGCATGTGAGTTACTTAACCTCTCTTAACCTCAGTTTTCTCCTGTCTGAAATGTACCAAGTCGTATTTGCTGCATAGTGTGATTGTTAGGATTCACCAGGAGGAGACAAGGGTACTGGTTTCTTTTGTCTCAAATTTCCCTTTCAGTGAGCGTGGTCTTTACAAACGAAACACTCGGCCATACAGAAGATGAAATTGGATGTCCTATCATTAAGTTTTATCTTGAGCTCCCATCTCTACTGGTGGCAGAAAATTTACTCATTCCGAGATGAACCCAACAGTTTAGTTTTCTTAGACATTTTAGGATTAAACCCAGGTAAACTCATGATTTACATCTTCACACATTTTCCTCATTGTAACTTCAAAGATCCCACAGATACCGCTTGGCTTCTGGGTCAGGCATTCAGTCCGTGGTCAGTTTGTTTGTCATTGGCATCCATTGGGATTTGTCCTCTTATCTGTCCCCGGAGTGCTTGCCGTCCTCCATGCATGCACCGGCTGATGTGTAAACATGTCCTGTGGGGTAATTCAGGCTGAATCTTCCATAGGGTGGCATCTTCTTACCCTGACCAAGCCTCTCCTATCCCTTCACAAAATCTTTCTACCAGCTCAAATCTATTTGCCTTCTCACGGACGTGTGAAAATGTGGCTGTCTCTTGGCAGCAGGCTAAGATCTGCATCTGTTTGGGAGACTACCCTGAGCTCCTTTGGACTTCATGTAGACTCATTGCTGATCTACCTCTCAGGTACCCTATTAGATACTTTTTGCCCAAACATACTGTCCTTCCAGACTCCATTTTGGGAATTTAAAACTGTGCTCTTGAATTTACAAATCTAGCTGAGATTTATCTGCTTTTCCCCTCTGGGAAACCATAGGAAAAAGAGAACAGCTTACAGAGAATTGGGGTTTTGTTCAGACTTACACCGATGCTCAGAATCTATTGCTCTTGCTTCTCCTCACCTTGCCCTGAATGCATCCCTTTCCTTCAGGCTCTTCTGTGTTTTTCTGGTGTGGGAAAACACGCTGGTTGCTCCTAGTCATGCATATTTACAAAACTTTTCTGCTTCAGCCTGGATCTATAGTAGGGAAAATGTCTTTGGATGTTTTGCCACCTTAGCAATCTACTTGTAACCTGGCCTTTGATCGTGCTGGACAAGTTGGTTGAAGGAGGGCCTGTCAAGTCGTTCAGGAGACGCAGGGGCCCAGTTTTATGTCAATTGATGGCTCTGTAGTCTTCCCTCAGTATTGTGTTTTCCTTTTGTTTCGTTTGTTTTTACATTAAGCTACTTACACAGGCGTGGCTCACGAAGGAAATGAATTAACTTGGATCTTGGAGGTTTGAAAGCTAATTACAGGGAAGTTTGAGGATACTGCAGCAGCCTGAGCCATTCTGCCCTCCTGGTTCTGTCATGCTAGTATAATTTGGTTCTTCTGTCAACTTTTCAAGCACAGATTGCTAACTAGGTTGATTAATAATCATTCAAAATGGAATATCCCTATTGGACTGCTTTCACTTCAGTCATAGTTTCCTGGTATAGTCATCTGACACCAGAATAGCTGAGGAAACTGCCTGTAGCAGCTTCCCTCAGAAAGGGGCACCGAAACTGGTTATTATTTTGAAGCTTCTGGGCAACCCCCAGAAACTGTGATGGTGGAAAAGAACAAGCTTTTTTGATCTGTGGAAACTTCTCCTCATCCTGGCATTCTCTCTCTCTAACACACACATTCATATACACACACACACACACACACTCACACACTCACACACACAGACACACTCCTTCCCATGTGTTTAAGCAATATAGAGTCATCACCCCTCTTGGTGCTATAGCCCTGGGAGCAATTCGCCCTTGAATTTGGCCTTAATTCTAGTTATCTAAACAGTTTGCTCTGCAGGACTTTCTGTCTCTTTCAGGGCCAACTCTGGGCCTAACTCGGTAGTATTTATATTTGCCTATAACTTTGTAATTCATCCAGGGTTCATACTAAGCAACATAAACCAAATTTATGATCCCTTATTTCTTAGAAGTCTCTTTTCGTGCAAAAGGCACCTGCCTCCACCATCCAAATGGATAGTTGTTTTTGTTTGTGTTTTTCCATAAATAGTAGGGATACTGCTCTATAAAGACTTTGAGAACTCACTTTCCTTACTGTTCCAGGCTTTTGGGAAAATATATGGAATATTGACATGAACTGCCTACATTTTTCTCTGCTAGAGAACTAGTGCATTCAAACTCATATGTTTTGATGTCTTTGGTTTATAAAAGATTTGTTTGTTAGATCTTCTTAAAAAGAAAAAAACAAAACAAAACAGACCACAAGTTTATTTATGTTAAAATTCTGAGGGTAAGGCAAAAGGAGAAAGAAAAGTCACTGGGAATAGGCCTAGTCCTGAAAAAATTATGAAGACATACATTCTAGTCCTCAGAGAATTAAGCTTGTTTTTAAAAGAAAGGATGTTTTTGTCTCTTCTATGAGTGGAAGAATGAAAGCTCAGAGAAACTGGCTATCAAGACTGAGGTAAAGCCAGAGTGTTGAGGGCTCATCCCTTGGAGAGCTTTACTCTCTTCTTCAGAAGAAGCATGAGAGAGCAAGAGGAGCATGCGCTTTGGTGTCAAACTGTAACATTTTACATTTTGCATGACACAAGTGAAAACTGGAACCATCATAATTTCCTGCCCCAATGGTAAACAACCCTGCAAAAAAGAAAATTTAACTCAATTATGTGTTCTAGAAAATACTTGCTACTGGAAGATAAGTCTGTGACCCAATGAAAATAGTATAATAATTTGCTCATCAAGGCTCAATTTAGGTGAGAACCTCTCTTTGCTGTGCCCACAAATCCAAATCTATCATGTCATAGGTTCCACCCATTCCCAACCAGTTCTCCACCTATCCATACTTGCCTTAAAACTATCCAATGTAGATCTTAAAAAACCTGTAACCATCCCTCTCCCTTAATTCCCCAAATGAAGATGCAACTGAAATTTCATAAAGTTAGTCCTTTCTGCAGTAGGTCTAGAAAATTTAGCTATGCTTTATCAACAGGTACATCTGGTGGTCTTTTAGGCCATCACTGTTTAACCCAAACTGGATTTCAATTGCTCCTTTACATAGATAATTCATTTAGCTGATTTTGCAGATAAAATGCTCATAAACCCAAGTTTTTCCCCAATAATACTTTTATATATTGATTTCATAGTAACACAAATAAAGCTCACATGAAGCAGCAATGCATTAATTAATAATGTTCAAATATTCTGAATTTCCTCATAAGTCCTATTATGAGGTGTTTATTATAATCTACTTCTAAGCTTTACATGTGAAAGGATCTAGATACTTGCCAAGGTATCCT